GATTTTTAGCAGAGGGTTTCTCCACTTCTTGGTGGAAAGGCAATATGGTCAGAGAGACACAAAGGTCATAAGATGTCACAGATTACATTGTGGCAGCCACCGTCACAATGTAGAGAGTTGTTTCCAGTGCAGGGAGATACCTCTGCTGTGGGGTAACCCTTTTCATCATCCCAACATGAATGCTCATGCTGGCTGATGGACCCGGTTGTGTTTTGGGTGGCAGAAGTAAGGAAGAATTTCAATCATCTCAAGCAAAGAGATGGCTTTGTGTCATGTGTTCACTCTGAATTCAGAGTTAACCTCCATACTTCACATCCGTGATGTCTGAATCTTGTCATTCATGCAAACTTGATTTGGGATGTTGTTCAGTTTATGTTCAGTTTATGTATCTCTATTTGTGATAGGTATAAATTCAGGTATGTGTACAGAGGCACAGCTCCACTGCTCTCATGCCGGCCCTCAGTCACTGTGAAACTGCAGTGTAACAGCTGTGCGTGTGTTCTGGCTGCTGGGTCTCATTACTCTTATGGGTGGACAGATCAGGAGCCTGTCTCTGCCAGCCTGTCCTTGCAAGTACAGCCCTGCAGCCCAACCTCTGTGTTAAAGTCTCTGAAAACTCCATCTCCGTTTACATCATCTGTGCCCTTCGGGGTCTGTTACCATCATGCAGCGGGGAGCTCATTGTCTGCAGAGTTAATAACAGAGGCTAAGTCTTCAATTAAATTAGAGAAAACAGTAGTTCAACACACACCAGCTGATTGTCTCTTAAGCAACTCCTTTATTATTTCAAAGCACTACCTGCACAGTAACCAGTTAATCCTAAAAAAACAGGCAGAACAGAGTTTTACACAAGATGAAAAAAAAATACAACCATGTTTGGAGACCTATCCCATGTCCTGTTAGGAGTCTCTTAACAGTGGGAACAAGCAATGGATGGCTTCCACATATATGTACCGTCCAAGACAGCACTGCTTCAGTCATCTTCTATAGAGAAGCGGAGGAGAAATTGTCAGACCCACAAATTAATGGATAAAGTTGACAAAGCATAAATAAAAATCTACCACCGAAAATAACCGTTTTGGCACTTGAATGCCACTGAGTGCAAATGATAAAAATCACGTGATTTAAGATGAACTGTTTAGAATTATTTAGAAACCAAGGTTTACCCACATTTTTTAGCAAAAGTTTGATTTCTTTTTTTTGCTCTGTCATGTCATGTAAAAGAACCTAGTTCACCTCCTGTGATACAGAGATGCTCTATGAAGCATTATGCAATAGCTCAGAGTATTTGACACATTTGGGGACGTAGCTCCACAGTAAACCACAACAAAAGCAGCAAACTTCGATGGGTGCATAACCTCAAGGAATAAAGCACAGCAGTAGATTTGGAAATAACTGCTTTGGCCTCATTTTTGCTATGGTTAGTTTTGACAATCAGACATAAGGAAAATACAAGTGACATAAAATAGATATTTTGGAACCTTTTGGTCCCTGTGATCAAAAAGGCCACTCTGGGATCAATTCTGTGGTGACAGCAGATGGCAGCAGAGCTGTACTCAAATATTTAAATTGCCATAGGGGAGATTCAAGTACCTTTATTGCAGAGCCAGAAAGGGGCTGCTGTGGACTTTATATACATTTCTCAAAACCTCTATGCTACTGGTACCAGCCTTGAAAACAGTACAGCACCTTCACCAACTCATTTTTCAGTATTAACATGTTCTGCTTTTAGAGTAGTGCTCCTGCATGTGCCTTGCAGAAACCAGTCCTCACTGGCTAGGCTGCGAAGGATTTAGCTTGCACATACATCCTATCACAGACCCATAAACTGTGCATTCTTCCACCAGAGCTTTTCTTGAAAAGCCTTATCAGGTAGATGTTTCCAGAGCATTCCTTCTAGTATTTTCGTTAATTCAGCTCTGCGGTGTCAGAGAGTCCCTATGTATGGGACACAGCCATCTAAAATCAGGGCGGACAGTCTTGTACCAGAAGGCAGATGTCCTGTGGACATCCAGGCATTGTTTTCATCCTCACACGAGAACAAACCAGCTGATTAATACAATAAGTCAGTAGCTGTGCAGTTCCACTTTTAACTGTAAATCTGCAGTAGCTGTGAGCTTGGCTTTGACACTTCTCCTGTAATATTCTGTTTCCATTGTTGTCCAGAAGTACTATAGCTTTACAGCAGCCTGTAGATGCACAGAGCATGAAATCAAACACATCTGCAGATACCATGACAGGCAAGCAGGGGGAAGAGAGCTGGAGTCCTCTGAAGAAGAGGTAAATAGTGTTTTCCTTCCCTGCAAACAATAACAATTGTTATCCATCTAGTATCTGTGACACTTGCTTATTATAATAACGTATGTGGTTTGATATCAGGGGCATATGAACAGTGGGACTGATCTGAGCCTTCTGTTGGGGCCGGGTGGGGTGGGAGGCAGAATAACTTCTGGTGGCTCCAATCAGTGTCATATCAGTCGTTTTGCAGAGGGGAAAATTTCATGGACATAAAGCATCCCCTCTCTCAGGGGCTGAATTTGCCTTTTGTGTTTTATCATTAGAAAACGCTATCTTTTTCTTTCCAGGAAACTGAAGCTTCTGTAGCACACAGTCAAGCTCAAACTTGCCAGAAACGTGTAAGCTTATCATTATTTTGTTTTATAATTGAGGTATAGCATTTCTCTGTCATTTTGCATCAAGCTGGTTAGAATTTGTGATCAGACGTGGAAACTTTGTGATGGCACAGACGCTTAACCAGTGGTACATCCACAATCCCCACGTATGCGTAGGGGGGCAGTAGAACGGGCATACAGAGCCTCACGCCATTAATTACAAACCAGATTGTGGCATCTGGCAGATAACCAGTTAAGAGTCTGCTTTACATTTTGGACTGGTACAGAATGTCAAAGACTGTGATTAATTTTTAGGCTCTTGTAATTAGCATCAGCAACAGTAATTCAGCAGTTCTCCAGTCTCACCTCGGTTGTGCTCCTGAGACATGCCCTGTGCTAAGGAAAGGCATGCAGCAAGGCACGGGGCAGTTGGTAGACAGTTATGCTTGGCCCTTATACACTCTCTCTGAAGACTACTGTTCCTCAAGGAGGAGAAAACATTTTTTTTTAATTATTTTTCAAAGACTAACACCTCACTGAATCAATTTTGGGAACTTCTAGGCCACAAAAGACAGGAAACATGGAATCTGTATCACAGTACAAATTAGTGGGAACACCCTTGTATGGATGCTTTCCAGGTTCATGTTAAAATCCGCTTAGGTTGGCAACCTTCAGTTTTGTGAGGCAAAGATTACGTCATGTTGATTGTTTCTATTGATGGAGTCATTAGATGAAATACTTTGAGTATGGCACTTGCAAATTTTTTGTACTGACAAACATTTTACAGTTCTGTCCATGCTGCCTTTATGTTTTGAAAAATCTTAGTATGTTATATAGCAGCTGAAATGTAATTTATTTTACCTAAATTCAAAATTTTTATTTTTGTGGGAAATCTAAGATGACTGAGCAATAATGAAACTTATTCCTTTATTTCGCCCCTCATCCAAAGACCAGGCAAGCTTCCAAAGACATCTACATTGAAGTTTCTCCTGGCACCTATTCTGTCACAGCAACCTCAGAGGACATGGTGCAACAAACCCATGTGGTAGATGTCAGTGCAGGACAAAGTGTTGATTTGACTTTTGTTCTATGATGTTTCTGGCTTCTTGGCAATCACAGGAATTAAATACGAGGTTTTTTTAATGCATTTAATGAACTATGTATATCTTTTTCTAGTAATTTAATTGTATCCTCCTCTTTGGGACTCTACTTTATGGCGTGTATATTTGTTTTCTACTTAATGCAGTTATATGCAGCCCACTTGGTACACTGATTTTATAAATATTTGTACATTGTGTGCCTTAAATCCAATTATGTGACTGTAAGTCCAGGTTCATATACTTTAAGCAATTAAAGATACAATCAGTGGAATTAAATACATAATTTAGTCTTTATGGTGACAGCTTCTTTTATATTATCAGACAGAACATCCACTGTTGACCACAGAGAGCATAATCCATGTAGCACGAATATGGATGTACATTAGCTTCTGTGGGCTGGCACTTATTTTAGATCAGCTAGCTCACAATGCATCTCTCCTATCTGTACATTTATTATTCTAATAAAGAAGTAAAATGCAAATAAAATTCACTGTCTAGGACCCCAACTCAGGAAGGTGCTTGAATGTGTGTCAGATGTTCAATATAGGCACATAAACTACTGACACTTCAAGTCCTGTCTCTTTGCAGGCTCTTGCCTAGGCTAAAACACCAGCTAGCTGCCTTTCTCAGCGGGCAGTTGGGTACTCTGCATCGCCTCCTATTTCCTGCAGGGGAAAGTACTGCTGAGCAACTGCATGCTGACACATGGGAATAGAAATTCAGTGGCTTGGATGCTGGATCTCTGAGCATTTTGTTGTTTGTATCTAAGTAGCATGTCCTTTACCCTCTGGCTACTTTCTTTTCTGCTTTAATCCTGAAAAAAAATTATTTTTGGCTGTCAGCTTCTATTGTTTCGCCATTGCTTCTGGCTTTTTACAAAAAGAAACTGCTATGCTGAATTCTTCTGTCTGACTCCAGGGAACTGTAGACAAACTGGAGGTTTATTAGACCTTTGCTGTGCATCTGTTCAGGTTTTTAGTGCTCATACTCGTTTTACCTGCTCACTGCAGGATAGTAAACTCAAGTCCAAATAATAAGGCATTTAGTATAACACTCTGGAGCAAAGAACGAGGATGCTGAAATTCCACGAGTAGAAATAGACTTTCTCAGTTATTACAATGATAGTTATCCATAAGGATATTTTACAGAGACAGTACCTAAACCAGAACTTGATGTGCTTAATAAATGTAACAGCATTACAGTATAAGCAGTTTACCTGATATTTCAGCTCCTGAACTTCATCAGCTGTACATTTTTTTGCATTCAGCCTGATCATGTCTCTCCCTACTTCGTTGCAAGTGAGCTCTTCGCTGGTTTTTTCTGTCTTCTGACATAGTCTGTATCACCAAGTTTGTCATCTCCTGTGCAAGTTGCTTGACATTTATCATATGACGCTGTTTTCTTTCTTGCTCTTTTATATCTTTGTTTTCCTGATGCTGCAAAACCTTCTTCCTGGAAGACAGAAAACAAATCCCTTAGAAGTCTAGTCTAAAAGCATCAATGTCTTTGTAACTGCTGCTTTCCTGGCTGTGAGATAGGTACCTCTGCCTCGCGTAGCTTTAATAACGGTATCATTTCTGTGCAAGGCCAAACTTTACTGCTGAAACACAGAGCCGTACAGTAAGACCACAGGATTTTCAGAAGCTGTTAGCCTTTCATCAGACTTTGCTTCCTTAGAAGTTAGGAGGATTTTTGGTGATTGCAGTAGGAGGACATTAGCCCAACAGAGACTACCTCTGGGAAGCCTGCTTTCACTTGTTTGCTCCAAGTTACTTCTGATGCAGAAGGATTATAGGATTTTTTGTAGGATAAAACTACTTCAGCTATCGCAAGGAGTAGCAACGTATCTTTGGGGTTTAAAAACACCAATGGCCATCTTAATGGAATAAAAGTATGTCATTATACCCTGCATTACCACATTGCGTCCACTGCTGTGATTCATGCTGCTGGTTTGGGGCTAGAACGGAGCCACTCTGGTCTCTGTTAGTTTTACCAAAAGGCAAAGCATGTCACTTCACTGCACAGCTGTGACACTTGCAAACATAGAGCATGTCTGCCTGGAGCTGTGTACTGGCCCAAAAATTGCTAAGAAATCAATTACAAAGGTGTATAATTATGATCATTTAAATAATAAATGAGGAACCATACAGCTGAGAAGTTGGTAGGCATCTGCTTAAAATTAATGCACATAATTGTGAGAATACAAGATATGTTCCAGTATATTCTCTGTTCACTATGTCACTAACAGGTTAATCATCTCCTAAAGAAAATCATGCAAGTTTAGCACATTCAAAGTTTTACTCAGCAGTCAGCTCACAGTAGCAAGAGCATGAAGGTACAGAAGATCTAATATTTGATTTCTGATATATAATTTATTAATTGTACCCCTGGTGCTCTCGTGTAGAGCAGTGTTTCTGGTCATCCTGCTATTCGCTTTCACCTTCCCCTTCTTCCTGCAAGCTTTTTGCTTCCTCTTTTGTGTGCCTCCTTTGTTTGGCATTCATATTCTGACTTTTTTAAAGTTTTCCTAAGGCAGGAGGGGACCATGGCCGACAGAAACCAGGCTTAAAAATCAGGGTGTTCTTCTTGTTCCTAGCTGTGACACAGTTTGCTTACTCTGTATCCCCTAGCTTTAGGATAGGGATCTGCTGTTTAAACTGCTTGCTTCTTCTGAGAGGGTAAGGGAAGATACTCAGTAAAGACTGCTTACTAAAAATACCTGCTTTTATCTTTCAGAGATAGAGATAGTGACTATCAGAGTGTGACTGGCACAGCTCAGCACCGTTCCAGACTGAATATTTTCTTGTGTTTTATTTCTGCTGACAGTCACAGCTTTCCATTTCCAGGGCCACTCATGTAGATCCCTACTTCCATGGGGCTTCATTGGGTTGATGTCAGTTGGCATTTGGCAGCTTTCTGAACTGAAATCTGCGTTGTGAACGCTCACACAGTTACTGGCATAATCTTTTCCATTTTACCAAGCAGCTTCAGCCCCTCCTTAGAGTTTTGGGATTTTTGTTTTAATTAGTGGAGAAGCTCCCTTCCTATCACAAAACTAGTGGATGGCCTTAGCAGGTGGTTAAGTTAGGAACGATGTATTTTTCTAGCCAACCTCCAGACCATGAACAAGAATATTTCTTCCATTTCCTGGCTGAACCCAGCACACAAACAATAAGAAACTCAGAGAGGGTACAGTATTAAAGCAGATTACCTTACCAGTGCTGGCTTGAAATCTTGGTCTCTCAAGATTCCTTTCATGGCGAGTTGCCCTCTGGGAGACTGCTTGATAGTTTCAAACACTGCCTTCTGATTAGTCAAGGCAACACAGGACATGTCCCCAGTGGAGATGGCTTTGTATTTTGGCCTGCCCTTTGTACATGTGCTGCTGCAACTGCTGAGTCCTGGGAAGGAGTAAAATTGTATCTAAGAATAAAACCAGATCTGAAATGGAGAAACAGTCATTGCAGAAGAGAGGAAAACACACTTTAAACTTGAAGAGAGTTCTTTCCGGCAGTTTGTTCTGCGTGGACTAGCTATGAAGGTCAACAAAGATGTTAGCATCATAAAAAGCATAGGAAAATGATGGGAAGAAACTCAGAGAGGGATGTCTGTGTTGCAGATGAGATTCATTGTTCTGTGAGTTTTCCATATGAGTTGCCAAAAAAAGAGCTAGCATGCAAGATGAGGCAGCAGAAATGTTGGGGAGGGGGAAATAGTGTATCCAAGGCTGATATGCAGATTTATAATTTTTATACCAGTTAAGTCACTGCCCAAATGAAGGGGGCACAGAATACACTTGGTTATTTCCCTCTGGCTGCTTCTTCCCTGTGAGAGTGGTTAAAAGGTACCTGAATTACTGGGATGGGACTTGTGGTGGCTTCTCTTCCAGTATTCCCCCTCTGGTCTTGCAGAACCCTTTAGCCTGTGCTTCTCAAGACAGACAGAGTCTGTGTTAACAGCACTGTCCACCATGGTGCTCTTAGTGGGGAATGGCTCCCAGTCCCACTCTGAATCAGAAGAGGGGGAAGATGCTGCAACGACTGCTGGTTCTTCTTGTTTTGGGCCTTCCAGTTCTAGAAGATGTGGAGAGTGCCTGCTGCTGGACTCTGCCTCTTCAGTGTCTCTTTGAAAGACCAGAGTTCTGGATGGAAGAGGCCACCAGGCATCAACGTGGGGATAGCAGCAGCAGATGCATCTCACACATGCTGATGAACAGCGTATACCATCACAGTGATAGTGGAAACACGGCCAGCAGGGTGAGCAGAGCAAGCAGTGCTTGGCAGGGCTGTGTACAGCACAAACAGGAATCAGGGCTGGTTTAGGACTGCGGTAAAAAATACAGGAGTTAGTGTCCAGACTTTCTCTGGGCTTCAACCTGCTGGTGACGGGCATGTGGATCATCTCAACAATCCTTTCCCACAGGCTAGGGGGTATCCACAGAGCCACACCTCGTGGGAGTTTCACTTTCTTGTCATTCCAGAATTGGACCATAATTTCCTCATCTTCTGAAGCTGTTGAGAGAAGAAGCAGCCATAAGCAGCTGGCCTGTCTGGGCAGCATGCACATACAGATCAGGCTTTGCAGTTTTACACCCTTTCTACTTCTGTCAAGCAGTAGGATCAGCTATCGCTGCTCTGTGTAACACCTCACCATAGTGTCCTAGAGGGTGGAATGGGCAGCTAGGGCACCACTGCTGTGACAACAGGTCTGGCACCATCTTGCCTCACCATTTGTCATCAGATGAACATGAAAATGTTGAATGAGTAACTTTCGGTTTTGCTGCCAAAGTTAACAGTGGCGCTTTGATAACAGTATTTGGATGTCAGTGGAGCCTGACTGTCAGACACAGGAAAAATGAACGAGCTGTTGAAATCTCCTACTCTTGGGTGATAAAATTACCCCCAGATGTACCATTTGGTACAAATGTGAGCATTCAAGCACAGATGGGTGCTTCCTGAGAGCTGCCTCACTTGGATCCCTGAGGAAAAGGCCACTGTCCTTCACACAGCAGACAGATCCTTGTCCAAGGAGATGGGGAAATAACATATCGGCAGGCATGGAAGGTGATATTTAATAGGTCACAACTTCCTTAGGACCAGACTGGTGAGGTTACACGCAGATACCCATCGGTAAGTCACATCAGCTCCTACAAGCTTTAAGTAAGGCTCAACTATAGTCTGTGCACTGGTGATTCTCTGGCAGTAGCACCATAAGAACAGTTTATCCTGACAGTTTCACTCATGTTCCCAAACAAGAAGAGGGAGGCATTTTTCTTACCTCGTAAGGGGTCCCTTGTCTCAATGCCAGTGAGGATGGTTCCTGGGCCATACCTGGCCATATCTTGTTCCCAGGGTGCCAGCACTTTGTCTCCAGGGAGTAAGGAGTGCTTCATCCCGTTCACGTATTCCAGGATGTCATCCTTTGCTGTTTTTTGCACACACACTGGATGCCTACCACGTGACACAAGTGGTTTGGCAAACTCTACCAGGAACATGCCTCTTTCACTCTGTTACCAGGAACAAAATAATAGTTTTTCTGAAGAACAGTCTGTAATGTGTGAGGTCACATAACCGTCACCAGGAGGCCATTCTGTGCCTAGGTTAAAACACCAAGCAAGCCTGAACAGTACCTAAATAGTGTGTGGTGTTAGTCCGGCAGCAAGACAGCCAGAAAAAACCCCAGGAAGGCTCACCAGGAAGCAGGCTGAGTGAAGCATATGTACACATTCACTACTGCTAGGACCTGGTTTTTCTTCCCTGAAAGAAAAAGCTATCTATAGATAGAATCCAACTGGATTTCACAAACCACACTATGTGCACCAGGTAACAAGGGACACTAAAGCCATCCAGGCCTGCTCTTCGGTCATGCCCAAATCCTTCCCCATTATGTTCAGCGTTAACTCACTGCTTCTTGCGGGGGTTGTTGGGAATTTTTATTTTCTTTTAAATTAAAGCCTGTCAAGAGACTTTCCATCAACAGTGAAATGAGGCACTTCCCTGTTCTTGAGAAAGAATAGGCTCTTTTTTCTGTTAAGTTTGAAGTGCTAGATCACTAATGAATTAAAGCTTTCACTAACATTTCTGAAAAGACACCAAGCCTGTAGCTGACTCAAGCTGGAAGTGTGTACATAAAACACAAACGCTTTTCCTGTGCTATTGATGGTTTTGTGTCTACACACAACAGTAGCTGGTGCACTGCTCACAACAGCACTCACACTGAGGCTGGCTCAGTGCCCAGCGCCAGCAGACAACCTGCTTTGCAAGCTGCTCAACTGCTCTCACCAGGAGCTAGGAGTTCGGAGGGCACCCATCTTCCTCATGAGGTGAGGATCCCCAGAACATACCTGCTCACTCTTAGAACCGTGCTCAGTGATGGAGGCTGAGCAGAGTAAGGATCTGACTGGGGCCTGGGGCTGTGCTGTATGCAAGAGGCTCACCAGGTGTGCCGGGCAGCAGGAGGTGAGGACAGCCTGCAACCAGGCACGTCGGGACCTTTATGATTTGACATAATCACGAGGATAGGCTCTCTTAGTGATCTGTTCTCTGATTCATGCACCAGCTGAAATCAGAACTGCAGTGCTGGACTCGGGTTGTGTATGAGGGCTGCTGGTGGACTGGACACCCTATTACAGCAACTGTCACTCACCTTTATGTCCTCTTTTACTGTACCACGGTAATAAAATCCGTCTTGTTCCCCTCTCACCAGCACAGGGACATTGCTGTCTAAGCCCACTGATGGCTCTGAATTGCTCAGCCGGTTCCATGCGGGGCCAGGGGAGGGGAGGCAGTGGCTAATCCATTGGCACCTTGAAGACAAGAGAATGGGTCAGCACTGAGAGAAACAGTGTCTGTAGGTCATGGAAAAAAAGATCTTGTAAGATTTAAGAACTGGATCATTCTACTTCATTTCGTAGCACTCTCACAGGCCAAGATATGTGGGAAGAAAGAGAAAACTTGCTTGTGCTCAGACAATTCCTTGCTTTTGGAGAAAAGAAACATCAGTGCCTGCTTTTAGCCACATCACTTCATTTTTGAACTTGGAGGAAGTGAACCAGGAATATGCTGGAATCCTGGGCCAGCATGAACTGCATTAGCTCCTTTGCTGCTTATATGGCAAGCTAATGCAACCCTGAAAACCAGGAGAGAAAGGATCCATCTCGAGCACAGCGTAGGTGTGCTCAAGAGCGCTGTAGTGATTGCTTATATGGGGCATTCAGGGAATGAGAGAAAAGTAGAACAGTAAACAATGAATCTGCTGGTTAACGACAGGTTCAAGTTCAATACAGGAAAAATAATCCCATCACAAAGCATTAGAAACATTTCACAGAAGATGACTGCTAATGCAAAATGCTTTCATTTATCCAAATAATATGAAAGGAATGTTTCTTTGATAGGAGGTCTACTCAGGCTTTGCTTTTCATAATCTCCAGGGTAGCAAATCACTTATGTTAATACCATCTAAACAACTGCCAGTGCAGGGGAGGGGAAAGCTCAAATGATGTTCAAGCTGCAAATTTATTAATCTGACACACCAGCCTGTTTTATCCTGTTAGATACCATGACAAAGAACATATCACAGACTCAAACAAGAACTCGGTTTTACCTCTGCGGGCTGAAGGGCTCAGCGATCCAGGCAGGATGTACTATGAAAGAGCTCCTGCAGCAGGGGTTGACAGGAGGTGTGACACTGGAGCAGGAAAACTTGTCCAGAGCTGGCATAGCACTGCAATACCTGTGATCTGTAGGCAGGAACCCGTCCAAATGAACCATTCTTGCGAAAGCAGCTACCTGCCAGACTCAGTCGTGATCTGTTGGTAGTTGAAAAGATGACAATGTACTGGCATTTTCCAGCACGAGCAAATGCTTTTCACTGTACCCCAGGAACTCAGTAGTCATTATTAATTGGTTTTTTTTATTTAAAAGAATGAATTCAAGATACACAGACTAGCATTAGGTCAGATGAACCCCTATTACTGACTTCAGTGATCTTCAGCCACCCAAATCCCAACCTGGTAGAGGGACAAAAACAGCTAAGGAAACTAGAAATGCTGTGAAAATCCCCAGGAAAGCAACAGCTTCCCCCTCCCTCCAAGTTTTGTTTCCCTCTGTAACATCCAGCTCTTTTTTCTAACACCCATGCTCTCCCTTAAAGCTGTCTCGTACAGAGTCCCAGCCAAACCTACCCTGTTTTACAAGCTGAGACAAAAACTACAGCTGAAGTTGACAAGCTGAGTAAACGTGACAATTTTTGAACGTGACATTAGATTACAGTTGCCTGTTACTTGTTTTATTTATAGTGATGTATTAAGAGGAAATATTTTGATCTTTCAGCTGTCCTGTCATGTTTTATAGCATTAGGATTATGGCTTGCCATGAGAAAGAATTAGATGCTCAGATTTGACAAGTGATAACTATTCAGAGGCTGTCACATTAAGATGGATGATGTGATGCTGTCTCTGATAATCTGTCAAGATTTAGTAGACAAGCTTCCATTCCTTTTTTTTTTAATATCACTTTGAAATGTTTAGTATGCTCAGGGTAAAATTTGCATGGCAACTCAACAGCATAAATTTTAAGAGCCTAATTTACTTTACAAAATACAGTTTAAGCTCTCATGTTTAAATGTTATTTTGTCTCTTATCTAAGAGATATCTGGGAATCCTTTTTATGAGGACTTGTAGATATACATGATTGCAGAAAACTAGCACACGAAACCCAATGGGAGCAGTGGACTAACTGCTGCAAAGCACGTCTTTAAGTCAGCAAACAAACACGGTATGTTCACTGCTTTCACAATTACACAAACCCTGGTTACAAACCAAACCAAGCCAGACTCAATAATACTTCCCAAAGAAACGCACCTATCAGTTCTACGTTAAAGCCCATTTTAAAGCCAGTCAGCACTGTCACTGCTGAGAGGGACAATTTCCCCTATTTCTGTATAAAACTGACAAAGGCAGTTATGCAACACAGATTTTTTTTTTCTGCGTAAGTCTAAATACTTGGACACAGCCGCGTTTCAAACTTACCACCTACTGATAACACTCCACCCGGTCTATTTGGATTTAGTTCCGATGCAGAAATCTCCCCCTTTTGCCTGTTTGAAGCAGGAAGCTGTTTGCTGCCAGTGTTTCCTTGTTGCTATGGAGGTTGCCACAGCTATACCAGGATCAGACATCCTGACCTTACTGGTTAAAAACCAGTGGAAGGCAACTAAAGAGGACCATTTGGCTGCCATGCACCCACTCAAGTTTTCAGCTCCCCACTGATCTAGGTATTGTGCTGAAAGACTGCAGGGGCAGAGAAGGGATTATACGAGGGCAGAGCGTCCTCTAGGCTTTCTACCTCCGGTTGCAGGACAGAAAAAGAGCATCATATGAAGCTACAGTTCAGATGTAGGACAAAAAAAAAGCCCACCACCACAGGGTGCGACAAATACTTTGGTGTGAAATGTGGACATAAGGTTTGAACTGAGACAAATGGAGAACAAATCACTTTAATCCTTCCTCTTAACGGTGTAAAGGAGAAGTTTGTAATAAATTCTATCTTCATCCTGCAAAGCGCTTATCAAAACCATGCCAGAATACGATGCAGAAATCTTCCTGTTAATCTCTGCTGTGATCCCTAATCTTTATTTTCTCCTTAACAAATCTTAACACTTTGCTTTCTTTTTTTGTGGGGAGGAAGGGGGAGGAATACTTAATTGAATTTTTGTAGGCATTTTTCAATTCACTGCTATAAAAACAAGGTAACAGGGGATGATTGCAATGAGGGACAAGGATGCAGCACTTGGGAAGTCTGTAACGATCTTCTGTACCCTCTGCTGCACCCACATTCTGCCTGCTCTCATGCTGTCAGCAGAATTATCGTTTAATATCAGTAATGCAGTTCCCTTACACACAGCAAATGTTGACAACATTCTGCCAGTTATAAGCTGAGCTAAACTCTCTTCACCAGCTTCCTTTAAATCTGTGGTAGGCAGCCAAAACCATCAGTAGTACAGAGGAACAGACTGGGAGGTTGGGGAAGACCACCACAGACCTCAACCATTATCAGTGAGAGACCTGGAAAATCCTGTTACAGGATTCCTCCCCCTGGCCAAGGCCAAGACCTTGCCAACACTCTGTATACTATTAACTGTGTGAGCAGTCCTAGTCATTTTTATGGGCACTGACAGCTGAAGAAAAACCCGATTTTCAGTAGAAATTAGGTTAAATCAACAGTTTTTAATGGGATTAAAATATTCATTAATAAGGATGGAACAGCACTTGCAAGATGTTATGCTCTATGTTCAGTAATCATGCTTCAGAGAGCTGCTACCCTCCCCTTTTTATTTCCCCCCTTGTAAACCAAGTTATCCTTTCTGCTGGCATCAAACATTATTCCTGGGAACCTTTAAAATTACTTTTTAAGAGAACACTGGCAATTAGACTAAAAATCTTTTCAGAAAGTACATGTGGGAGTCAACCGGTAACTTTACAGAAAATGGGAGGGATCTCAGTCCCATCAGTGGCAAGGTTTTATTTTAAAGCATAGGTGTTGTGATGATACATACAGTTTCTTCACACCTACAGGTATTACATTTGTGCTTTGGTGACAATTTTAGAAATGTTTTCCGAGTTTCATGAATTAACTAACTTGGGCCATTCAGATGCAATCTCCCCAGTTGCCTTTTTATATCTTAGTGTAGTTACTATCTGCAGAATTACAACTCTTTCCTGTGGGCTGACACTGATGCAGGCTAGGATCTGCTCCTCAGATGTGCCAGGAACGTGCACATCATTAATAATATAGTGGCTACTAGGCTCCCAGGCAGGATACCTTTTGCTCAGTTTGGAACAGCTTAGAACATCTTCAAAATCTGGTTTTGTTTGGTAATTGATTTAGGTGCTTGGCTTGGCTCTGTGACGTTTGTTTCTGCCACCACAGAATCGCTGTACAGAACAGACTGTAGGTAGCTGATGTATTTTATTGCAGCACGGAGCGTCTCTACTTTGCTGAGCCGTTTCTCCAAGTATTCCTTAGGCAGGTGATGCCTCAGTTTAGCATAGCCTTCATTGACACATTTAACCCTTTGTCTTTCCCTCTCATTCCTCTTCCGGATGAAAGCCGGCCCATAGGAGTGCTCACTTCTGTGGTAACTGGGATGGGGCATTTGGTAGGGAACGGCGTAGGGCTCGCTGTAGAAGTTCTCTGCGATAAGATGTTCGGACATGAAAGGAAGGAATGACCAGTCTTCGGAGCAAGTGACCTGGTTTGCTGTTTCTGGGTACGTGGGAGACGTGACCACTGGGTCGGCACAGAAAGACCTAGCCAGCTGCGCGCGCCGGGTCTCAGCGCCGATGGACAACTTGTCCATGAGGTTACAGTAGCTTTTGCCATCCATCAGGTTTTGCATTTAACCTGGAAATGCATAATCACATACTAGTTTATACAACTCGTACTGAGCAGTAGGAAAAACCCACCTGCACTTACCAACGCTTGGCAGTGCTGGCATTTTCCAGGAGAGACTTCTAATGCATTTGTGACATTTCAGAGTAGGGTTGGAATAGAGTGGATAGTGCCCCATTTGAAAATACAAGTCAAGCAACGGTGATTAAAAAGTGTTTGCTGACTTGCACCCAGTCAGCAACACTGATTAAAAAAAATTGACAACAGATGAAGAAAATAAAGCCAGTAAAGCTTCCTAAAGAAACAGCAGTCTCCTTTCACCTCAGCTTTAGAAATGAAGATCTACCTTTATGTACCCCTCATAGGTACAGCTTGCTCTGAATCCTCCAGACAAAGCAGGTCATTATCTGAGGCATTTTCTCCACCCCCTTTTCCCTGAAAACTGAAATCTACAGTTCCAGTAACAGACTCCCTATCATACCAAAAAGCCTTCAAAGATAAATTACTTTTTCTCTCTATTCATTTGATGTCTCATTCACTATACTATCTTAATTAGACAGAAAACTTGTGCAGGGAAGGCATCTCAGTTTTATGCCTGTCAAGCATTCTACATAGTAAGTTTTACAAAAAGTTTAGAGGATTAATTTCTGCTAAACCTGACATCTCATGCTGCTTCTGCACTCACCTGCAGATGTACTAAATACAATCCTACCGATAAAGGATTATGAAATAATCGATTTATTTAAGGAAAAAATGCACATCCTAATAACATTGTTCCAATTACGAATTATTTTACCTAAGAAGGGACACACATAGTGGTTGGAGGACTGCTAGAAACCTGTAAACCATATGCCCTGTCTTCAAAGCAGCATTACAGCAGGCCTAACTACCCCCATCACCCTTAGATACCTATTAGAAAGATAATCTTGCAGTGTTTTATAGGAAGCTAGATTATAGTGCCTTCCCAGTATCATTATTCAAACTGCCAAACAGCAGCATGACTCTAATGACTGTCACCTAATAGCTACTTTAAAAAGATTTTAAGTAACTAGTGCATTTTTAAAGAATCACCATTACTGACTGCAAGCAATACTGGCCTACACAGAATCAATCTAAAACTGCTCTCACTCACTGTCCACTTCCACATCTATATGCTGCTGTCTAAAACACTTAACTTCTATTACACCCTCTACAATGGAAAACACACCTGAACATTAAACTCTGTTACCAGAAACATCTAGATTCCATACTCAAAAAACCTGGCAAAGCCTCAAAGCTCAGACCATGGTTTCATAACAGAAATGGGACCCTCTTAATCCTTCACAAGAGCACAGGTATATTTTAGTATTTTTCTAATGATTTCATACCTGCCAAGTTTAATATGGAGAGAGTTTTTACTCAGCATGGATCTATCCTCACAACATGCTCTATCAAAATGCCTCTGTATTGTGTCATCTCTTTTTTCTAATGCAAATAGGTGTCACAACAAAAATCCCGAGCTAAGAATTTTACAGTAATCTGTTAGACAAGAGAGCAAGTCACACGCATCATAAACGGGCACTGCTGTGGGTAGGCTGAAAGCATGAACACACATCTCCTTTACATTAACACACATGCAGAAAATTAGAGGGGAATACGTACATGTTACAAAACGACAATAGTAGATAGTTACCTTTCCCTTTTCTACGTACACAGGTTGGGTTATTGTCTAAAAACTTTCCACTGCTAACAACTCAAACACTGTCTGGAGGAAAAAAGTCTGTTACGTAGCAAAACATGACTGTAGAGGAGGAAACCATAAACCATAACCTCTCAAGAAGAGATACTTGCAGGATTTGCTGCTTTGTACTGACACTTCTGCTGCATAACAGCATTACATAAAACAGTTACCTGCTGCCCTACTACCTGCACGAAGGGCAAAATGCAAGTGTTAGGATCGTTTTCCTTTTGGACTAGAGACTCACCAATCTTCAGATGAAAGTAAAATCCAAGGAAACAAGACGTGCTATTTTAAGACTGATGAATAATACCTGAAAACATCTGAATGATATTAAAAAGAGAAGTTAATGTTCCATTTTTCTTACACCTTATTTAATAAGAGATCATATTTAACACCATTAATTAAAAAGGTACGGAAGCTCTATTACTGAATAGCTGATAGAAATGGTTTACCAAAGTGTTGATATCCAGTGAAGACCTGTTGTTCAGCAGAGCAATACACAAGTCTCTTACCTGAATTACGTAGCTTGTTCCACTGAGTCAATGTCTGCTGCAATTTATAGTCAATTGACAACATGCAAAGTAGCTTACAGTTAGATCTGCTCATTTCTGGTTTGGCTTTTCCACCCACACCACATCTATGATGGCAACAAGACTTGGCATTAAGGGCTAGAAATTTTAAAACCTTATTGAGCGTAACCAGATTTCTTGAAAAAGTAATCAGGAACGTACTTTGTTTACTTTCTGTATGTATTCTGTTACTGTTTACTAAAGTGGTATTTTAATTTATTGGCATTTGTCCTTTTAATGTCTAATTATAACAAACAGCATTTAGCTAAATATTTACCATCAAGGCGTAAGCACACTAATTTTCATAGCTTCCATTTCAACACAGAAAATCAGCACTTCTTTAAAAGAAAATTCTGCTGGAATTGTCTCCAGATTACAAGTGAGGACACACATTATTTATCTTTATACTCTCAAATTTAGTCTTCATTACACCTATAATTTTGGGAAATTCCCTTAGTGTTAAGTAGTACACCAACATATAAAAAGGTCTCTAATAAAGCATTCATGGTGGCTGATAAGACCAATTTGGACAGCAGTGAGCAATCAGTAGCAAGACAAACCTTTTAAAAGTTTTGGTTAAACTCAGGAACGCAGTGTGGAGCCATCAGTCTCTATAATCAAATATAGGCACATCGATGCTACATGTATCAGTATATGGCCGTCCAGCTGCACAGGTACAAGGAAACAGGACACCTAACCCTGAAACACCTTCATTTTACACCATTACCTTGACACTTCAGGCCTCTCTACTGATCAAAGTAAAACCCCACAAAACATCCAAAACCAAACCAGTTTACCTTAAAACTCTCAGATACATTGAAGATAATGGTTTAGAAACAATTATCTCCTACCAAGAGAGCTACATACACCCCGTCTTGTCTTCTCGGGACTGTCATCTGTCAAAGCAAGCATTCTGCTTCTGCTGCCTCCGTGTGGGAACACCACAACGCTGTATTCCACATCCTCCTTCCCAGGCCAGCTCCACGCCCCACCAGAAAGGCAGCCAAGAGGTAGAGCACCTACCAGAACTGGGAGACAGGCACATCTTCAACTAACAGGTTACATTCTTTCTCTGTAGGGGACCCCAGGTACACCACTGTTACAACCAGTTAGCAACTCATCAGGGTGGGATGTTGAACACAGTAATTCAACTCAAGTCTGCATCATCTTTTTTGTCTCCTGCTGTGGTTTGGTGGTGGGTTTTATTTTTTCCTGCTTAAAGAGTCTTGTGCCTCCACCAATTAGCCACTCGTTATAGATCCCTCCAGATTAACTCAGTTTTTGGAAGACTACAGGACTGACATGAGACTAAAGCTCTGTATCTGCCAAAGAGCTACAGGCAAGTACAACTGTAGTAGTTATGGGCCACGATGTTTCCACCCCTGATGTGGCCGAGCTATGTGCATGTGTTTATTTCCCATGCTACTCTGCCCCCCAGGCTGTGGGCTAAGCAAGCCCAAACTGCACCTGGCAACATACAGTCCCATTCACGTTCCATTTCCTTCCACCCCGGACCTGGAAACTGTAGAAGACAATAACATAGCTACATATGCATAGCTAATTTGAGTCCGGGATTAAAAGCTTTTTTTCAATTAACAAAGGAAAGAAAGGCCTCCCAAATTATCTAAGCACTGAACAAGTGCATATTTCTACTTTTACAGATGGAATTTACATGCAGGGTAAATGACAAGAAAAATGATGACAGAGATAATGCACATCTGTTTTTCAAAAATCATTTTTATCTTTAATTGTTACATTCCAAAGGGGATATATGAAAGTCATCTAGCAACTGTGTATCTCTTCAGAGATGAGTACAGAATTACAGATAAAAAAATACACCTAACTCCCAAGATGACAGGTGCTAGAGAAGGTATGTGCCTTACACCATCAACCCAGACAAATGCAGAAAGATTTTTATAATAAATATTTCATCATATACTAACTCCTGAGACTTTACCCATGAAAAGAAAGGGAGAAGATTTTTTTGTAAGAGATATCATACACATACAATATATTAAGCTATTAAAGCAAAATAGAATAAAATACCAACACTGTCTTGATATGCACTGCATTTGAGTTTATCTACATCACAGTACTTTAAGTATGCAGCTCAGAGTCAGTGTCCATTTCAGTTTCACCTTAAATCTGCAAACATCACTTGACATACAAGCATCTTGAAAGTCAGAGTGCAAGAAACCAAATGATGAATACAGCCAATCAGGGTTTCATTCTCCGATACGAAAACCACACTGCAAGATTTAGATTTCCAGTACCTAGCATTAGTCAGCAGAAAATCCAAGTCTATTTACAAAAGGTCTTCACATAAAATGATTAGTGAGTTGTAAGTAGTTACTGTGTTCCCAGGTACTTTTTAACCACATAAAGAGTAGAGGGAAATACATAGTTAAAAAACACCATAAAGTCACAACTGTAAATAAGGTACCACAGTGGCAACCCACAATAGCTTAGGGTTTGTTTTCTTTTCAGTTTTGTTAGTAAAAGCCATCTGAAAATGTGAAGATTTTAGCTTTTGGTTAATTAATCTTTTTAAATTGCTTCCATTCCAGTACATTCCTTCAAAGTTCAAATACTTTTTTCTTTATTTTTCCTAGATCAGTAACAAACCTTCTGAATTGGCAGGATCAGGAAGACATGTCAGCTCTTTCAATCAGTCCACTTTACTGCCCTGGAGTTATTTTACTGAGACACAATTAACTCAGCACAACATGACGGTCAAAGACAGATTTGCGTTGCTCTTGGACCTGTAACTTCCAGCGCTGCTGGGCATACTCCACTTTGTTCAATACATTAGCACGGCTCCGAGAACGAGCCAGCACATCGTGAGCATTCGCAAAAGGCTGGTGATCCTGGAATGACAAAAATCAGTAGTTAGATCTCAACAATTCCACCAAGCAATTACATTAGTCTTTGTTGTTACATTCCAAAGGCTGAGGTTTGATTTTGGTTGGGTTGGTGGTGTTTTGGGTTCGTTTTTAAGGTAAACAAGAGGTTTCAACAAGCTGGTCAGTAATAATGACCAAGCAAGTTTTTGAAGAGCTAGAACTGTACTTCAATTTCTCATTCATAGAAGCTTTCAAGGGTTTCCCAAATAGACCAAACTTCATTGTACTGTCAAATGATTATCTGCTGCCCAGAGACATCACGGTGAGCTGCGAGATCAGAACCAGAGGCTTGCACCCACTAGCAGCTGGTGGGACAGAGAACAGCCACAGGCATTGGGAGCCTCCCGTTATTGTCCTGAATGCACTTGACTTTAAAACAGAATTAAAGAGCCAAATTACGGCCATTAACTGTCAGGCAGTTCAGGATGTTCACACACAGCTTCTATATAAAATCAACACACACTGATGTTTACCAAACTAAACCTATTGTACTGAGCTGTCTAAAAACAAAGTGTCAATACAGCTGTTTAAGTGACAGAGCTCAACAATAACTGAGTGCTTGTTTAATATTTACTGTTTTTAAACAGTACCTTTTCTTCTTGTTAATATTACCAAGTTATAAACAGTAAGAGTTGCCTCACCCCAATATCCTCCTAGAAATGACTGAGAAAATCTTAAGATGTCAGTCCAAAGACATGTAGAGTATGTGTCCATGTAATACACAAGGCAGTGCAGGAACAGCGGGACACAATAGCAATAGCATGGCTCTGTCCAAAGAAGCTTCATTCCAGACAATGGTAGTTCAAGCTTGGGTAATAATCACATAATTTTGGTGTGAAGTCAAGGTAAATAAAGAAGGCACAGCTGATAAAAGCTATTATCTAGGAGAATGCTTGATTTTGAATACTTAGTATCATCCCAATCTTTATGTTAACCTAAGTACACAAGCACTCTGCTGAACTCACCCCAATGTCCTCATCACTTTGGATGAGCTGCGAATGTCCAAAGAGACGTCTCTTCAGTATAGGTTCCACCAGCGTAAGGTACACCATGTACAGAAGAAGTAAGCCCAAAATAGACAGGTATATGATGATTGTAACCTACAAAATGCGAGCACAGTTTATGCCAGAATTGTGACATTACACCCACAATCTCTCAGCAGGCAGCAAGAACCAAAAGAAGAGTACACACAGAGTTTGTGCTGAGCCTGTCAATCTTCAGTAGTGTCACCAAATTACTTAAAACCCACAAATGGGGAAAAAAAGCACCAAACTACGACCTGGTATCAGCCCCAGTTTTGGGGCAGTCATGTTAGCTTGTGAGTTTCTCTTAGTGAGGCATTGCTGAAAATATTATGCTCTCTCAAGCAAAACAGCTGAATAATGAGAGGCCCTCCAAAACAATAACGAAAACAGAGTCCACAGGTTACAGAATGCCACAGAACATTCAATTTCAGCAAGGTGTAAAGCTTAATCTCAGAAGTGGAGGTCTTCAATAAAGTATCTTGAGCCTGCTCCTTCAGCTATAGCTTGATGCTGCTGTTACTACGCAAGAAAAGTTATGAGCAGCTATCATGTAAAAAAGGCTAAATCTTAGGCTTCCCTTTAAAAAGAAAACTTCTCTAAACAGACATGCTTACTAATCAGTTGAAGTATTTAATATATGCCAACAGAATTACATTGTTTACCTTAATTGTGACAGAGCTTCTCTCTTCATATTTGCATTCGCAACGTAAACAGTATGCTTCTACATCAGGTCCAGGGACAGGCATGGGCTCAACCACATGAAGACAGTCACTGAAGACAGAAACAGCTCAGTCAGTTTTGAGCTGGTTTTAGCTTACCTGCTCCACCAGGCGCCGAGCAGTCACCTTTGCTTATGTTCAGCTGTCCTAAATTATAGGTATCCAAGATTTCAAATGAATAAATAAAAGAAATCACTGCTCCACAATCATTTTACTTAAACTTTTGACAAGCTGCTAAACAAGTTTTAAGACCTTTCTAACTCAATACAATGTTTTCATTATTCAGTGAAAGTATCAAAGCTGTTAGCATAAGAAGTCCAAGGATCTGAATCCCAGCAAAAATGCATCATTTGACACTGACATCATGGATGAGAGTAAATTCCAACTATACACTTCTTTCTTCATCATACTCAAAAGAGCCTTATTCTATCCTTCCACTATCTGAAGGGAGATTAACCTCTCTTTGATGTTCATGAACAGAAGTTCTTTCTTCTTGGCATCAGAGGTTACAGCATTAAAGGGGGGAAAAGGTCAGATGAGTTGTTTCTCTAAGCAACAATAAAGTGAATAAATAGCATTCAGTTTTCAGCACCAGACCCAAATGCAAAAGCATAACTTGATTTAAAAGATGACAAAATATAAGTCAGTTCCATGCCAAAAAGCGTGGCTGACAATGTTACAGGCACTCAATACCACTCCACTAAAAACCAGCTGCCGCGACACAACTGCTTCCACCAGTAACTTATGTCATTTTGGTCTTCTTGCTGACTAAGGTTGGTTGTTCAGAGTTCACATCCCAGGGTCCCTGCAGAGCACTGAGAACAAAAATCATGTTTTGCCTTCGTCCTGGTTAACTCAATGTTAGTACAGTCAGAAGGAGGGAACAAAATAAAAGGCCCAATGTGACAGGAGCAGCCTGGGATTCAACACACCGGGCTAGATCACACAGCTGCACCAACTCATCTCTTCTGTTTTCTTTGTATTTCTTCTTCATAACTAAAACTATCAGGTGCCAAGTCACATCCTCTGGAGGGGAGTGGAAGTCTTATTTTTCCCATTTATGTGAAATTAGAATTACATTCTCCTTTGTGGAACAGTGCAGCATCAAGATATAAACTCAAAAATACACACAAGTTACGAAGTAAGCAATTGCTGTTCATACAATTGAAAGCTCACATCAGTGTGCTGCACAAGAGCAGTAGAAAGCTTGTACGTAGCTTAAGTGCAGTAGTGTGTTACTGTGAATATATCAAATGTTCATATCAACGTTATTTCCACCAGTTCAGTGTTTCACACTGATAGATTTTACACTTCCTATCAGAACCTCAGAATTTTGATGATGTGTTTCCCTGAACTGCAATTCCACTGCAATTCTAGGGGAGAACATAGAAAAGGCTAATCCTTTTCTAAACAATTTTCCCACTCAACTACCTCTACATTACCACCTCCTCCCTTGCACCCATAGAAACTGCACCAAGGAAGCAGTTCTTCCAAGACAAGCTAGGCTAGTCCGAAGGGCAGCTTCTGCGAGATTTCCAGTTCATTCAGCTTGTAGACAGGGTGTCCTCCCTCTCCACAACTACCACTGCAGTCAGCCTCTGTACATGAAACACCTCTACTTTCAAAGTACAATACAAACACCCACACTTTCCAAGCGGGTTATTTAACCCCATAGGTGCTTAGGCATCGCTATGCTTGCCGAGCGCACTGTCCATCAGGATGGCACTATCCACGACAGCTCCACGCCTGAGCCCAGACAGGTGAACGCTTGTTCTGGTGTCCCATACTGAGGTACCCCAGCCCGTACTGATGTTCACGCAGCACGCTGTTTGCCACTCTGAAGCCAGAGGAACAGACCACTCCAAGTGAAAGAACTCAAATACCTACTTAAGGAGTATCACGATGCACGTGACAGGTTCGACATTAAATATTAAATTTTCATTTCATGCCTGGACAAGCCAGCAGTAAGTGGTCATTACACTGTACATAATTCATAAAGACACTAAAAACCGATCTGGCACTTGTCTCATGAGTGACTGATCCAAATACCTGAAGGATGGTGCACATCAGCTAGTTCTATTCAATAAGTCACTCGCACTGGTGTGGAGGCCAAACTGCAGCACTAAATCTGTCGATTTTATCAGACATAAACTAGCAATCAAGCCTTTTCAAAGTGACAAGAAGATATCTCAAACAGAAGGTCAAGGCCGTAAAATGTTCCCAAATGAGATTTAAGAGAGAAAAATGGAGTTTCTCTATGCATTAGTGTCTGTCACCATAAAGTTAGTCAAGCCTTCAAAATTAATTTTTCCTTCAATCAGTACCAATATTGATTTAAAGGAAAGGAGTGTCTTTTCTGCTAGTAAGGCACACACTAAGCAATACCCACTGAAAAAATCCATTTGCATTTGCAGAGCTGGAATGAACAATAAAACCAATACCACTGCTACTCTGAAATGCCTGCTGCAGCTGGAATTCTACCAACAAGTTTCATTACTGCAACTTAACAATATTAGTCCTATTATGACAAATTAACTTAATCATGTGGGACAAAAATAGCAATTTCAATTTGACAGTACATTTTACATACATTAGTTTAGGTTGAAATTTACAGTGGTGTTTCTCACAGTTCTGGAAGTAATTTAATAAGTCAAGGCACAGCTCTACATATATCTGTATCACTAATTTTATTCCTATAATTATTTTTGCGGGCCTACTCAGGGGCATGAAATTTTAATAATCAATATGCCAACCTGCTGCTACTCATCAGACTGGAAAGTCTTAGAAATTCTTAATGTAACTGAAGAAGAGTCAATATATCCAAAAGCATGTAATGTTTTTCTACGTTGACCCAAGAATCCACAAGCACGTCTGACATGAATACAACTTTAAAACATGGGTTTTCACTTGTATGATTCACTTAGCCAATGATACTCAAGGTGAAGTTACACAAAAGAGCTATCCCAATGTAACAAGTCACTGTCATCCCACTTTCTTCCCCAAAATCCTCATCCCTGGCCACATCTATCAGTCCTCAGCTTGGAGAGGAGCCTGACAAATGCTAGCCTAAACAGTACAATAGAGCACATTTCTGGGGCACTGAGAAAACAGACTTCTCTCTCTCTCTAAAAAAAAAAAAAAAAAGTGGTGTTAGATAGCTCAGGCTGTCCCATATAACTGCACTCTCTGGCTGCAATTCTGAGGAACAGAAGTCTCCAGAAACTATAGTCTCCAAATGACAGAATGGGTTCCACACAGAGGAAAGGGAGACAATACTCCCAAGCCCTAGTTCTGTGGCCACACTCCCTTGCCTTAACAATATTTCAGAATTCAAACTACAACATCCCCTTCCCTTCTACTATTTCAAAGTCTAAATAAATAACTAAGCACGCAAGCAAGCAAACCAAAACAGAAGACACAGCAAAACCTAACACATTTCAAGCATTATCACTTGTTAGAGCTTAACTCTGCAGCACTTCCAAATGCAAAGTACCAATAACTCATGCAAGAGATGTAATACCTCCTAGCACCACCCCAGGAGACTCGCATATGCTCACAACAGAACAAGTCTTTAGCCAGTAAGACTCACCATAATTTTTGAAGCCACACACACTTACCAGTCTTTCTGTGAAACATTTTTATTGTAAATATGGCCCGAATGGTCTTTGTAAGGGGGGCAGATGCATTTGCATCGGACATCCTCAGAATTCTGTAAAGGAAACAACATGCTTAGAAGAAGTTATCATCAGTAACCATAGCCAGATACAGAAAGCACACTTCACGTAACACATGAAATATTCAACACAAACCACTTCCAAGTATCTTTGAATAGTCTTACTCAGGATGTCCTTCAAGTTTAAGAACAACCCTTCAAGACTGCAAAGCAAGCAGAGCAATTTGTCAAGTAACACCATTTTAGATAGCAAATGCATTCTAGAGTTCAAGCTCACCCTAGTTTTTTAAGAAATAAGGCACACTCAGAAATTACTGATGTTGGCATACTCAGCGGTTCAATTTATGACAACAGCTGTATGACATCGACATAATACTGAGCTTAAAATGAATGAAAGAGTATCAACCCCAAATGGAATCTGCCAACAAAACTTCTGTGCGTAATTCTGTCCTGACCACAACAGAAACAACTCGGTAAGGAAAACTAGCAGGGGGAGTAGGACAACTTATGGTCCTCTTCTCTTAAACAGCAGCAGGATACTGGTAGTAGTAGATAAAAATAGTGCAAAACTGGAATTCCAAACAAAGGGAAAAGAAATGTGAAAAAGAATGGAAACTCATAAAGGCAAGTTTTAGGCAAAATTTGCGTAAGTGATGAGAGGCCCTGCAGAAAAGGAGGAAAATTAACTGCCTTCTGTTACGGACAGTGAGAAAGAAGCAACACCCAAAATTAACTGTGACTACCACTACAGAGAACAACAGAATTTCAGAAAAAAAAAAAACCGCTTTGTGTATATTTAAATAGGATAATTCCTTTCTTTCCCAAATGCACAAACACAAGAAAAACCCTATGGAGAGACCAGAGATGGTCTGCAAGGGGTTATAGTTGAATGCACTTTCAAACCCAAACCAGAGTAAGTTATTTGAGCAAGTAACAAGAGACAGTAGATAAACTTGGCCTATCAGAAGTTCAAGGCAATTTCTAACTGCATTTCAAAAGAATCTCTTAAGAAGTATCGGTAATAAACTTCTACACTGAACAATCAGGTCAGAATAACACAAAATGGGTGTAGGGCAGCTGGAAAACCCTGACTACATTATACACCCCGTTACTTCTGGTCTCACTGCAGAGAAGTCAAACAGCTGATTACCATAGCAAGTGCTCTGAAAGCAGGAGAGAGTCATGCTGTTGGGAGACACAGCGTTCTCAGTCAGTCAGGAGATGCTGGGGCTCTAGTCGCAAACACCAACCCAGAAGGGCCGGCAGCAGAGCACCGCCGCAGGGCCAACGCGAGGGGCTCGCCCCGAGGCGGAGCGCGGTGGGGGAAGGTGCGGCGGGGCACCGGGC